TTGATTTATTGACATCAGAAATTATATAGCGGGTGGGACATTAGACCAATTCACTCAAGATTTCGGAAACAATAAATCACGTGTTAAATCCTTTTTCCCTTATCAATTCATCACATGGGAAATTACGAAGAAGAAATTATATAAAGGAACCATTCACTCAAGATTCATTTTATTCAGCATTAACTCAAGAAACTATATCAGATAGTGATTATCAAATATATCTCAATGATGCTAAAAATTTAAGAATAGATTAGAATATTTTATTCATTATTGCAATAAAGACGTTGAAATTATGATTGACCCAATTGATAAAATTATTGAAGAAACATTTGTTTATAAAATTGACATGCTTCATAATCTTTCTTTATCATCGAATGCATCAATGATTCGTTACGCTTAGCATATAAAGACTTCAATCCTAAGAAAATATCCAGAAGAGAAGAATCAAGTTTTGAATTAACAAAAAGTATTGGAAATATAAAATTGAATCATATAAGAAACAAGATGAAAAGCGAAAGAGATACTAAAAACAATGTTTCAATGGATGACTATCAATACTATCACGATTTAATCCTTTCATCTAAATGCAAAATGTGTGGTAAAGCGTTTACATATGCAAATAAACCAACATTGGATAGAATCGATAATGAAAAACCACATACCAAAGAAAATTGTCAGTTAATGTGTTGTTATTGCAATGTCGTAAAATCAAATAAAGATGAAGATGTTCAACGTTTAAGAATCAATTTAAGAAATTATGCATTAAAAAATAATTTACCAATGACTTTAGATTCAGTTGAAGCTTATCACATTCTCCGTAATGGAATTACTGGTGGTCTATCAAATGTTCAACATCGTGTTAATCTTAAAGGAATCACGCACATTAATAAACTTTCATATAATCCAGAAACTAAAACTGTATCAAATGAGGACACCACCAACATTATGACTCATTTCGTTGGTGTTGATTTAATTCATTATATCCTTCATCATTTTCATCTAATCCTCATGATTTCATTCAATATACTGACCATAAAATGTATATGCCGGGAAGATTGAATGGTGTTATCATTTGTGATACAGCAACAAAGAAAGCAAAAGCACTGGGAATTATTAAGAAGAAAAATACTTTATTCGTGGCTGAAGTAAAGGGTCACATTGATGAAAAATACATTAATGATTACATAAACTTTTTACCGATAATAAGAAACTTAGATATTATCACAGATGAAAAAACAATTGGCAGTTTTATGTATAATTACATGAAATCAAACAATCTACCAGTTGACCAGAAACAGAGAAAATTAACTCAGTTAGCATCAACACACAACCAATATCAACCATTTTCTTCTTATTATCTTTGGTATCTAATAGACAGATTTCATTTTATCATTGATGACATTCAATCAATTTTAACATTTACTAAAAACACTTGTTTTAATGAATTTGCGAACGAATTTATGAACGAAAGACAAAAGGCTGAATTAGAAGGAAATAAAGGAAAAAGTTTATTTTGCAAGATTTCACTTAATGGATCATATGGTTACGATGCAATGAATACACAAAATTACGCAAAGACTAAAATAATGAATGCACAGAAGGCACGCGTTGCATGTATGTCAAATAAGTTTAAAAACATAAGAGAAATAGGAAGATACGTATCAAGTGATGCTTAAAGATAGATTTTATAGATGTGATACATGTTTACAAGAGGCATTCTTCACTTTAGATAACTAAATACTGGTATTTGGTTTTCATTTATGATTTTATGTATAAATGCATGATGTTAATCGTTTTCATTTCATTGAAGGTGATACTGATTCATCTTATTGGGCAATCGCTGGCGACCCAAATCTTCCTAACACTCAAGCATTTCAAGCAATTGTTACCGATAAACAATTTTATGATAAAAACATTTTCAAATTCGCACCATTTGATTTCTTCTGTTTTGATGAGAAATTTAAACCTAAATTAAAGAATAAAGCTGAAGAAAAAGCACATGAGAAGAAGTTATTGGGTTTAGCAATTGAGAAACAAGGTGATAACATGGTTGCTTTATGTCCTAAGTGTTATACATCATTCAACGGTTCAATTGATGGAAGTGATTTTAAAAAGATTGCACAAAAAATGAAAGGTGTTAGTTTACGACAAAATAAACAATTAACACCTAAAAATTATTTGGATATAATAAATGATAAATTGATATTTGATGGTCAGAATATTAATTTACAACTTAAAAATGGGTCAATGACTCGCTTAACAATTGGTAAGACTGCATTAAACACACACTACGGCTGTATGTTGTGAAAATGGATGTTGTATGCCATTTATTTAATAAAATACCACAGAAGAGACAAAAGGAACCGTTAATGATGGTTTTGATACTATGCTTCAAAGAGGTGGGCACCCTTAAAACATTGATTTTATTTTTATATAAATGGATAACACAGATTTAAAAAATTTCATTGCTGATTTAGTACTTAATCAAAAATTTCTTAGTTATTATGAATTAAAATCATATCTCCAAAAACATAATAAAAATATAACGGGTGATGATATGGAATATTATTATCCATATTATAAAAATGAAATTTTGAAATATCATAATAAAATAATTTCTGAAATTAAAGACAAAATTAAAAATAATGAATATTCAAAGGGAAAAACTAAATCACAACTTAAACAGTTGAAAGATTTCAAAAATAAAGTATTAACAGAAGAAGATATTGATGGATTATATAAATTATATAATCCTGAGCCGCAAAAGCCAAAGGAACAAAAACAAAAGGTGCAAAACGCCCAGGTCCTTCAGACCATAAATGAAGCACTAGCTTTAATTTATGATTCATTAGTTAAACCATATTCAGCCCGACTTTTAAATGAAGATCAACTTTTGGAATTCATCCTTCAACATAAACTCGAAGCGGGAAAGTATATCAAACCTTTATATACAGCATATTTAAAACAAATGAATAGAATACATCCAGAATTAATGAAGGAAGGAATGAAATCCAAAATCAAAGCAGATAAAATTAAACCACTTGCAACACCAAAACCTCCAACGACAGTACCTCCTCCTCCTTCAGTTAATCCTTCATCATTCACTTTATTATATCCATTTCAAACATTAAAGAAGCAAAAAGATTTTAAAAAGGATTTCAAGATATTAAATAAACGAATTGACCCAAAAATTCAACCGTTAAAGGAAAAATTTAGTCGCCCTTCATTTGCACCATATCCATATTCATACGAAATCGATCATCTGGAATATTCAAAAGGAAACGTTACTTATTTATTTGCCATTAACATTAACACTAGATATTTATATTGCATTCCAGTGAAAGGGAAAACAGAACAGGAAACAAGAAGAGCTATTCAATACTTACTAGATCATGAAAGAGTAGATAATATCAGGGGTGATGGTGATAAAGGATTTCAGGCAGCTATGACTCATTATTTCCCACAAATTAATTTTTTCTTTTCATCCTCTCCATATACGTTTCATAATAAAATAGTTGATGCGGTAATGAGAACTCTTAGAGATGCGTTAGGGGTTAACGGTCAGATATACTGGGATGGAAATCATGACTCCATCATACAGCAGTTAGTATATTATTACAATAATACATGGCATAGAACTATAAACATGAAACCGGTGGAAATGAAAAATGATATTTCAAAAGAATTGGAATATATTAGAAAGCAAATGGAAAGGTTGAATGATGTTAAACGTGAACAAATTAATTCGGGGCTCATGAATTTTAAACAAGGAAATAAAGTTTTAATTCATCTCGATTATGGAAAAACTGATAAATCAATGACAAAAAGAAGACGAAGATTTGACACAATAGCTGAATTTGTTAGATATATTAACGGCAATGCATTAGTTGAAGTTGACAATAAATTAATAGAAATTCCGATTTATTTTATTACTCCATTATATTTAAATAATATTTAATTTTTTTATTTCGTAAGAAATGAGTGACAACAAAGCAGTCAAGAGTCCAGACGATGAATATAAAAAGAAACTAAACAGAATTAAATCAAAAATATGCTATTACAAAAAGAAGCCGCAATGCGGTGGGGTTGAAAACAATAAAACTAATGGAACTGAAAACGATAAAGAGAGGAAAGAAATAATCGAAAAATTAGAAACTTACCGTTCAATCATTAAACTGAGTGAAGCAAAAATAAAAGAATTTAATAGAATAAATAAATTGGTTGGAAGAGATGAATTTAATAAAGATGAATTTTTAAACTCTATCCAAATTTAATTTTTATTCCTCTTCGACAACATCTCTCTTTCCATCATTACTGCATAACCACATTTTCTCAATTTTAGTGGTTTGTTATTTTTAACATGTTCTTGCATCATTTTTATCCTTTCCTCCCTTGTTATGATTCGTGGTAAATTTTGAGCTTGTGGGGTATTCATTTATGATAAAAATAAAAATTTAAATTATGCCGTTCTAAAGTTTGTGACAACATGACATTTTGACAACATCATGGGTTATTCAATAATTAATTATTTTTGAAGAACTGAAGGGGTCACCAGGTCACCAGGTCATTTAACTTCTCTGAAAAAATGAGACAACATGACATTTTGACAACATCATGGGTTATTCAATAATTAATTATTTTTGAAGAACTGAAGGGGTCACCAGGTCACCAGGTCACCAGGTCATTTAACTTCTCTGAAAAAATGTGACAACATGACATTTTGACAACATCATGGGTTATTCAATAATTAATTATTTTTGAAGAACTGAAGGGGTCACCAGGTCACCAGGTCACCAGGTCATTTAACTTCTCTGAAAAAATGAGACAACATGACATTTTGACAACATCATGGGTTATTCAATAATTAATTATTTTTGAAGAACTGAAGGGGTCACCAGGTCACCAGGTCACCAGGTCATTTAACTTCTCTGAAAAAATGAGACAACATGACATTTTGACAACATCACAGGAGGAAGGCAAAAATAAATTCCAGTCATACTTTATAAAGCTTCATTCACAGGTATTTCATCGTCAGTAAATGATTCCTCATTATCGTTTGGTTCAATTTGTTTATATAATCCTTTCATTTCTTCTTTCAAAACATAATACCATGTTTGTTTACCATCTATTTTTCTTTGTTTCCTTTCACATTTATCCTTAATGCTCATTTGAAAGTTTTTGTCTTTCATGTCTGATGGTTTGCAGAATAGAGCATTTTTACACGTCATACCTGCACATAATTCATCATAATGTGTATTTATCCATTCATCTAAAGGATTTGTTGATAATTCTATTAAATCTTGTTTGGCTTCAGTCATCGGTATGATTCGTACATTAAATGACGAAAGGTCATATTGCATAAAATACGTCAGTAAATTATCATAAAATTCCTTAGTGCATGAATCCATTAAATTCTTGAAGTAATCAAATTGACCCTTGAATTTACCATTAACCCTTAAAACTATGTATCTTCTGTCTCCAACTTCAATTTTGACAGGGTAGACGTTGTTAGTTACGAAAATGAAGTTTGCAACGTTCTGTGCTGTTCTTCTGGGTTGATTCTTTTCATTAATTCTAATCTCATTATCCGTAATAATTGATTTCAAAGCGTTGAAGTTTGCGAGTCTGTCTTCACCTACATTCTTGAGTTCATTAAGTACAAGAAACATTTTATTTTCAACTACTGAGTTGAAATTACCCGTTAGCTCACTTATTTCAGTAATGTTTTTACATGAATAACCAGCGAGAAGTTCAGAAATAATATCTGTAAATCTGTTTTTACCTGTTCCCTGAAGTCCTTTCAAAATAATTGCTGTTTCATTCTTGATTCCAGGATGTTGAATCATTGATGCAATCCAGCCGAGAAGGTATTTATACACTTCATCGTTATTATCACAAATGGCTTCTTTAATGAAATTCATAAACCTCTCAATTTTTGAGTAATCAGGCTTTTCAAGAATGTTGTATTTATAACCCTGAAACGTTGAGAAAACATCTGGAGAATCAGATTTAAAGCAAACACCCTTAACGGTTAATGAAGACAATTGATTTAATAGTACGTCCCATGCTGTTATGGTTTTACCTTCTTCTTTAAATAATTTAATCATTTTGAGTGACTCTTTCATGTTTGACTGAAGAACAAATGATATTTGATTCATTTTGTCGTGTATGTTGTAATCTTTCTGAATGAAATATTTGTTTCCACAATCTACAAAACGAATTACACGTGATAAATCCTCAATTACTTCAGAACTGTTTTTATACTGATGATTTTCAGCCTTGCGTCTAATATCTGTTATCAAAAACGAGTCATCAAGTTTGATATCAAATGTTATTTTTGGCTTACGTAATAAAGGTAAAACATATTCATCATAATATTCCTTTTGATAAAGTTTTAGAATCTTCACCAAAACAAATGGAGAAGTCATTAAATGTGCATATCTACTACGTGCTTTTTCAAAATTACTTTTTGCATTTTCTGGTAAACTGCAGAAGTTATAAACGTTATCGTATGCTTCATTAATTAAATGATCTGGTAACGAATTAATAGCTTGAAACAGTGTGAATAATGTTATTTCTTTTTCTAAATTCATGTTTCCACCATCATTATGTACTTCAAAATCACAGATGCCATCAACTATGCTCTGGGCAAGTTTATCGTCAATGTTTACATCTTTGTTTTCATTCATGATATTCTTTATTTCTTCGTTCTTCTGTTCAACTCTTACCTTAATATTCAAATCATTTAATATATCGTTTACTGTTCTGGTTAATGTTGAATCATAACTTCCACGAATGAATGAGTATGTATTGATTGGTTCTGATGCATTCTTGCGAACTCTTGAATCAGCCATAACTACTAATGAACGCTTTGAATCATCAATAGAAGTCATTATGTCAATATCATAATCATTGCAGGAATAACATTTAATCATTCTGTTCGAAACTGCATAGAAGAAATTAGTGTTGCAATAAATGTGAAGACCTCCTGAAGCGGTTTTAACGATAACATCTTTATCCGAAAGTTTTGATAAAATGTCTTTTCTAACTGTTTCTTTAAGTTCATCATTGTATGATTTATTGATATCAACATCTATAATCGTTAAATTTGAAATTTTATTTACTAATAAAGCTGTACCAGTTTTCCTTCCTCTTCCTCCATCATGTTTGAGGTAGTTATGTAAATCAATCTTGTTTTCACCAATTCTTTCGTTGAGGGTTTTAGTTTCTGCCACAACTAATTCCTCAGCTAATGAATCAATAACTTGTTCATCAGAAATGATAAAGTTGCTGTTGCTGTTGTTTGTTGCTGTCATTTATATAGGAATAAAAAAATAAAAATAATTTTAAAACTAACTTTATTTTTGGACTGCATCAAATTTTCGTAAATGTTGTCTAAATGTCATGTTGTCACATTTTTTCAGAGAAGTTAAATGACCTGGTGACCTGGTGACCTGGTGACCCCTTCAGTTCTTCAAAAATAAGTCATAACTGCCTTCCTCCTGTGATGTTGTCTAAATGTCATGTTGTCACATTTTTTCAGAGAAGTTAAATGACCTGGTGACCTGGTGACCTGGTGACCCCTTCAGTTCTTCAAAAATAAGTCATAACTGCCTTCCTCCTGTGATGTTGTCTAAATGTCATGTTGTCACATTTTTTCAGAGAAGTTAAATGACCTGGTGACCTGGTGACCTGGTGACCCCTTCAGTTCTTCAAAAATAAGTCATAACTGCCTTCCTCCTGTGATGTTGTCTAAATGTCATGTTGTCACATTTTTTCAGAGAAGTTAAATGACCTGGTGACCTGGTGACCTGGTGACCCCTTCAGTTCTTCAAAAATAAGTCATAACTGCCTTCCTCCTGTGATGTTGTCTAAATGTCATGTTGTCACATTTTTTCAGAGAAGTTAAATGACCTGGTGACCTGGTGACCTGGTGACCCCTTCAGTTCTTCAAAAATAATTAATTATTGAATAACCTGAAAGCATTAACATAAACATTAACGTAAACATTAACGTAACCATTAACGTAACCATTAACGTAAACATTAACGATAAAATATATTTCTGCAGTTCATTCATTACTTCATTACCTAATTAATTACAGACATAAAATATATTTAGTTCATTCAATGAACGCGGTACCATGCGAATACAGTCACAAATGGTGGCATGTAATCTTTACCCGAGCCTGTTGGATTTGTTGTGAAAGTGTGTGAATGATTTCCTGTGGTTCCACAGAAAATACCTGCGCTTGAATCTACTGGGTCGCTTGAAATATCATATCTATCCATTCCCTGTCTATCCGAACCTGCTGCAAGATTTCTATAACCTCTTTTTGTTATTGTATGTGAATGATTACCTGTTGTGTTTGTAGTTCCTGTATGAGTGTGCGGTGGAAGGTTTGCTTCAGTAATTTTCTTCGAACCTCCTGTTTGCTTTGAATATCTAGCACAGTATAAGAATTTATCTACAATCTGCTTCCACACCGAAAACCTAAACTGTTGATGGATTTGTTGAGTTCATTGATGTATAAATAGAACCAATGGGGTAAATCATCTCAAGAATTGTATTTAATCCATTATGAATATTGAATTTATTATATAATATTGAATTTGGGTGAGTATTTAAAACTGGTCTTGTTATCAATATTAACGTATTATTTTTGAAAATTGCTTTTCTAACATCTTGAAATTTTGTGATTTCAGACCAGTTTCTTCCATCACTACTGATATTTACTAAATCACCACATCCTAAAGCAATGAAATACCCATCAATATAAAATAAATTTGTAAATCTATAATTTTGAGTAAGTTTTGGAGTGAATGAATAAACCAATTCCCAATTTGATAAATCCTGTGATAAATAAATATGTCTGTTATAACTTACAGGATATGAATAGACCATTTCACCTGAAACGAGAACATAAACATTTGATCCATAACATAAAGCTTCAATGTCTCCATCAGCTTGAAAAATTTGTTCAAATTGACCTTGTGGTATTGAAGATGATCTATAAATTTTATCATTTTGTAGGATAAAATACATGTTGTTAATGTAATACCATTTACTTGTATAATCAATTTTCAAATCTGATGACATCATACTAAACATATAATAATTTATCCCATCCTCACTAATGAAAATTTGATTGACTTCATAAATTAGTACCCATTTATTATTAACACATCTAATAGGATTATTTGGATATTTAAATTTAGCATCTTGATTTAAATTACATTTGAACCATTGGATACAATCGAATGAATAACAAGGGCAAAAATCATCTCCAACCGTTATCATTCCCATAAATTTACCGTTATTATATTCAACATATAAAATTCTTGGATTAATGATTGGCTTTCGTGTATCAGGATTCAAAACAGATGGAGTAAATGATTCATAGTTTTTAAAATCATTTGTTTTAAAATAATAAAGCACTCCAGCTGTATAAAATAAATACATGGTCACTCCATCGAAACATATCCATTCAAAAGAATCTATATCAAAGGTTTTATCTGATGATTTCATAAAATTTAAAAATGGTGGAGTAAAATAGACCTCTGATTGTTTTATTTCTTCATTAACAAATGATATATTAGCTTTCTTTCTAACTCACTATCCACATATTCCTTATCTGCTTTCTTCTCTAACTCATCGTTAACATATTTTATCCGCTTTAAGGTCTAAACATCCTGAAACCCATCCTGTATCGGCTTTAGTTTTAAAATCTTTGATGTCCATTCATGATACCATTCAACCCTTTCTTTAATTTCATTATCTTTTTCATCAACATAAACCAAATTTGCCTTTCTTCATTAACTCACTATCCACATATTCCTTATCTGCTTCTTCATTATGTCATTTAGGAAACCTTTATGAATTCCTCATTTAAATTAAATCTTCCAATCTTCAAAACTTTAGGAAATGCATTTAATGCGTAATATCTCTGTTCTTCTGGTGGAATTGATGTTATATCATCCGTTATACCTTTAATTTTTGAATTCATAAATAAAATTTCTTTTATATTTGATATCACTGCACCACCTTTGCAAACGAATTCGAAATGGTCATTTTTCAATACTATCTCCAAATCTCCATATTTCAACCTTTGCGTTTGTTCTGCCGTCTTTGAATTATATGCATATATGGCGTATGTAATGGTCTGAGGGACCTGGGTGCTTTGTGCCTTAAGTTGTTGTGGTTGCTGTTGTTTAATCATTTATTATGATTTAAAAATAAATATTTAATCTGTTATCTCATCAGCTATTTTTTCTATTTGAAATTGCCATAATATTTCATTCATGAATTCTAATCACAATCAAATAGGTCAGTTATTCTAAATTTAATATTTGATAAATCTTTTGAATGAAGAATAAATGAATTCCCGGATAATTGAAACGGATATGATAAAGAAAATGTGTTTAAGTTGATGGATAAAATGTTTTTATTGATGGGTAAGAGTTAGGGTCTAATGTTTGATGTGAAAATCTCATTGGGGTATTAACTTTATCACATCTGATTAAAATGAAATTGGAACCAGTGTCAGAATACAAAACATCCCAACATCTTTTTCAAAATTTAATATCCCCAACAATGAACGAAGATGAGGAGTACAAAATTTAATTTTCAGCGGAAATTTAATAAGGTTATTTATTTCATCAAGTTCAAAAAGTTTATCGGTTTTGATTTAAAATTTTCTTCATACCATACGATAAATGATTCATTTAAATAACTTAAAATCATGTTAATATCCCATTTCGCTATCACATTATTTATATACATATCATACGTTTTTTCAAGTCATCTTTAATAAATGATATATAATCTGAAGGGTCTAAAAGAATGGGATTAAATTTACCACTCACAGAAACGAGAGTAACATTATAAATTCCGCTAACTGTTAAATTTAATTCACAGCTATTATTCGAAATAATATTGATAATTGACATTTTTATTACGATTAAAAATATGGTAAAGCGTTATTTTCAGTGATAAATAAAACTAGAATAAGATTACCTCAAGAATTTAAATTCAACGAATAAGAAATTCATTCATGTTATAAATTTTAGTGTTTTCAGAAAATATGAGTCAATGTCATATTCATAACAGGTTATATTTCACTTCATTCAAATTTAGTTCAATCAAACCCATATAATGA